CTATAAGTCTCTTTGCTTCTTTAAATTGTTGAAGGGTAACTGGTCTATATGTGTATCTCATCACCTTACTAGCCTGCCTGATGTCTAAGCTTTATGCTCTACTTTGATACTTGTATAGTTAAGCTCTTTTGAATGGCATACAACAGGGGCCTTCTGTACACTAACATACAAAAAAAAAAAAAAATGTCAAGTCATTCCAACTCATGGCTAAGTGTGTCAGAGAAGAACTGTGCGCCACAGTTTTCAGTGGCTGACTTTTTGGAAGTGGATTACCAAGCTTATATTCCGAGGTGCCTCTAGGTAAACTTGAACTTCCAACCTTTCGGTTAGTAGACAAGATCATTAATCATTTGTACTACTCAAGTGTAGATGAACATTTTCTGAGACGTTTTTGTACTACTAGTGCTATACTTTTCTCCCAGCACAGCTTAGAGGTTAACTTCTATGAAATGGTTAAAAAACTAAGTGAAGTACACATTTGGGTATTGCTGTTGTTAAGTGCTGTCAAGTCAGTTCCGACCCATAGCGACCCTGTGTAGGGTTTCTGAGGGCAGCTGGTGAGCTTGAACAGTAGCCTTGAGTTCAAAGCGACTTTGCAGTCCAGGACATTAACTCACAGCGCCACACCAGGACTCCATTTGGGTATTAAATATTTAAAAAACAAATAAACAAGAACATTACTGTTACGTAGATTCTGACGCACAGCGTTCCTACTGGACAAAGTAGAATGGCTGTATACTTTACAGAGCAGACCGGCCACAGCTTTCTTGCAGGGAGCAGTTGAGGGTTTGAACTATAGGCTTTTCAGTTAGCTGTTGTCTTTAAGTGTCATCCAGTTAATTCTGACTCATAGTGACCGTGTATAGGGTTTCTGAGGAGCGGCTGGTGAGCTTGAACTGCCAACCTTGTGGTTCAAATCAACACTGTAGTCCAGTGCATAAACCCACAGCACCACATCAGGAAAAGAGCTATAACCAGTGAAACACAAGGCTCCATAAATATTTTAAAGCTTGGCCAATATAAAGCAATGACCACTTAGTTCAATGTACAGTGCTTGCAAATGACCACAATTGGTCTCTTTTCACCTGGAACAAGACGGAAAAGGAGAGCCAGGAATAAAACAAAGCTATGGAATGTGTGAGCCCATGTGTAGGACAAGCACTGGACTGTGAACCATAAACTCAGCAGTTCAAACAACAATGGAATGTGTGGCTATTTGCCTCCATGAAAAACTGCCTCCTTTGCCACCAGACCAGAAGAACTGAACAGTGCCTGGCTAGCATTACTAAACATTTTGACCAGAAATTCCAAAGAAGAATACTGATCGAAAATGGGAAAAGGCAGAACAGAATTTTAAATCCTTATGGACTTCAGACATCCTGGAGCCATGAAGGTTTGATGGATTCCTTAAAACTATTACCCTAAGATAATCTTTTAGCCTTAAACCAAAAATACCTCCTGAAGTCTTCTTACAATCAAACAATTGTTTAGCTGAACTAGTAGTACAGGAATGTCTGCCTTGAGCATTATGCTCTTTTAAGAACTATCTCTATATAGGGCATCAAATTGGCAACAACTGAAAAGATTACAAGTGAACCTTAGAGGGTAGTGAATTTGTGTTAATGAGAACACAGAAAAGGAGGATGAGAATACTTACACAACTAAATGTCACTCAACGGTACATGACGAAACTACTAAATTGGTGCATGTTTTGTTCCATATATTCTCAACAACAAAGTATGTAAAATTACATTTTAAAAAATTTAAAAAGAAAGCACTGGACTAAATGGGACTCTAAATATCTAATTAAATACTAGGTGGTAACATCAATTTCAAGTATGAATTCCATCTGGTGAAGGAATAAAGCATTTCAATTCAATAAAAATTCTGTTTCAGCCACTCTGCAAAATGTCATGGCTCATCTGCATTCTCTTAAAATGTCTTCACTGATGATATTTGTTTAGAAAGGAACAAGAGCCAAGTTTAATATAGGAATTCTTTAATTATATCTGTACAGGACAGTATTATGTGGCTACTTATTCTGCCATCAAAGTAATTAACATAAAGGATCAAAGGCAAAGTTTCTTATGTGAATCCAGAATACAAGCTTGTTTGGATTCTATGTCATGGAACCACAGAAAGAATTCAGTAAGTCAACTTTCACTGAATTTATTTATGTCTGTCATTTCCTTTGGGGCAAATTAATTTTACAGGCTGCTGGCAAAATAAGGGGCTCAAAACTGGTTGGCTTTTATTATTTGGCATTAACTCTTTAAGAGGCAGCCATAGAGCTGCAGTTAATGCAGCTATATTTCTTGTTCAAAAGGGAATTTAATTACTTTAAGCCAAGGGCATTTCTAAAATCAATTGACAGGAAAGAGAGATTAACTGCTATTATGATGTTGGTCTTGGAGCCAGGAGCAAGAAAATCCAGCTAAATTATGACAATGAGAAACCTCAAAAGAAGAGAAAAGCTACCAGTTATTTTCTGTTCTTATTAACCTTGCAACAAAGCTTTATTTTCCTCACTTTCCACTCAACCTACTTGTGTTACAACTGTTTTAGTATTATTGTCAATGAAATCCTGAGTGTGTTATAGTTTATCTATATGTATTCACAAAATTGCAGCATTTCAAAGATGAAAGGGAGCTCCAAGTCAATTAATCCAACTACAATATATGCCTCCATCATGTCCCTACTAATATGCTGGTGTAAGTAGCATTGTCTACCTATCAAAGCAGTCCAACGCCATCTAACTCCATGTTAGAAAGTTTCCATTCAGTAAAGTCCGTTTCACCATTGCTTCCAACTTCTTGTATCCCTAAGGGTCATTAAAAAAAAAAAAATCTAATTCCTCTTCTACATAAAGTTCTTTGAATATTTAAAGAGAACAATTCTGACAACTTCTTTAGCTATCTTCTTTCCTTCAAATGATCCTAGTATTAAAGCAATTGAGTCCTCCTCGGTTTCTACTAGCATGCTAGCCCCAAAACAAATAAATTTGTATGCATGTCTACAATTATTCTGACCTTAAATATAATTTTTAAAAATTTGAGTTACCTGAACATAGTTGTTGTTGTTAAGTGCTATTACCAACTTTAAACTAGATGAGCTAATGCTCAAGCATTAACAAAATCTTTATGAATGTACCAGCAGAAGATTGTTTCTAATATGATTTAAACAGTTACATTGCCTTTAATTGCCCCTAAGTCACAGCCAAGGCTAGGTTTTAACCTAAAATCTTAAACACTTAAAATACCTCTCCATCAAGTTTTTGAAGGAGCCCTGGCAGTGTAGAGGTTAGATTATTAACGACAAGGTCAGTATTTCAAATCTACCAGTAGTTCCATGGGAGAAAGATGAGGCCTTCTGCTCCCAAAAAGATTTATAGCCTTAGAAACCCCATACAGGGTCACTATGAGTCAGAACCAACTCCACGGCACACAAACACCACCACCACCAAGTTTTGGGGCTTTACTCTGCAGTTTATTTGGACAACAGGATGAGTTCTTAAATTCTCAAGTTATACAGAGCTGATTATTCTTCCTTAACTTTGACAACTTCCAGCCCAAGTCAAGCAAACAAACAAAAATGTTCAAAACACAATTAACCAGCCCAAGTCACAAACCACATTTTAAAGATATCTTAGCAAGCTGTCTGTTATAAGGTTCTCAGATGGCAGGCATTATCCATCTCAAGAGGTTTACTTTCGAAGTGGCCAGCTGGTCTGAGTGCAGGGATGCATGCATGAATTCCCAAACCTGCCGCTAGTATCCACTTGACCTAACTTGGATAGCTAGCTGACCAGAACTCAACATGATGATGCTAAAGATATCTGATACTGTAAGCAAGTGTAAATTGCTACATGGATTCAGCTGCTCAAAATTTCAACCGAAATGGAAGGATTCTTCATTATCAAAGATCAAGCTTGTTCCCTCAGTGTTGTTAAGATCAGGCAACATTGGCTATCAAAAACAGGGGGCTACAAAGGCATGAAGAAGTAGCTCTGGTAGCATAGGGGCTATGAGTTGGGTTGCTAAACTCAAGGTCAGCAGTTCTGCAGGAGAAAGATGATGCTTTCTGCTCCCATAATGATTTACAGTCTTGGAAACTCTATACAGGGTCACTATGCATCAGAATCAACTCCAAGGCACATAATCACCACCATAAATACATGAAGTGGCTGGCTTACAAACTTTCATAAGTGTGCTAGCTTCAGAATGAGGGGGGTACGATAGAATCCCCACTGAAGAGTTTTTCTCTTCTCCAGATGGACCTGGTAAAAGGGGATGAGAATGATGCTGATAGGACTTGATGATTCAATTGTAATTGTTAGCAAGATTAATTGTGATTGTCACAACTATATTTGTAGAAGATGTGTAACTAAAAGGGGTGAGCAGTTAATCTTTCATTTCAGGAACATACGATCCCAGGACCATCAAGAAGGAAGAGAATGAGTGGCATGTGAGATCCCTATCTAGAAGAGTGATGACAGCGGAGACAGTGGTCGAGGCAATAGCATGGAGAGACAGGCAATAGCATGGAGAAACAGAGGGCTCTAGGCCCGTGGACTAGGCTGTATGCCTGTGGGCAGGAGGCTGGCCTGCAGAATATACCCTTAGGACACTTAAATGAATATATACTTTTGTTTGGTATGTGTACATCACATATTTTTGCTTTGTTAATTTGTGAAATATAAAATGCAAATAGAGAGCCACAGTGAGGGGATTGTAATCATTGAGATGAAACAATGTATTAATTGCTGAATGTGAGACTGATGATACTGTCTGTCAACCCTCACTCAATTTACAATAAAAAAAAAAAGTTTTTTTAAATCCTCACTTTCAGAGTCAGTTGACGTTACCTCTAACATGTCATATACACATGCTTACCTTATACAGTAATTCATAAAACACTAATTGAGTACTTGCCACATTAGACTGCTTTGAAAAGTTATTATCACTGATGAAATTATTAAGCACTCACACACAATCACTTACCCACGACTCATGGTATAAAACTGTTAGCAGATACATTGCATAATCGTAATTCTGTCTCTTTAAAGGGCACCTTTAAAAGAAAGAGAAGAAATCAGCATTCTAAACACTCAGTATAGAAGAGTAATTTGCAAAATATACAATATACCAAACATGCTGTTGCTGTGTGCCATCGCGTCAGTTCCGACTCAAAATGACCCTAGATAGGATTTCCAAAGCTATAAATCTTTATGAAAGTAGAAAGCCTCATCATTCTCCCTGAGAGTAGCTGGTGGATTCGAACCACTGACCTCACAGTTAATACCTCAATAGTAACCCACTATCAGGGCTCCTCTATCCAAACCTAGAGGATAAGTAATAATCAAGTATCCCCTGCCTGTTTGAGCAAATTTCTATAAGAACAGTCTATGAAGTTTATTACTTGAGGGTACGTAAAACTGGTATTATTTTCATCTACAGCTATACTATATAATGCTATACTATTGCTATTAAGGAATCCTGGGGTGGTGCTATAGGATCAGCACTGGACTGTGAACCACAAGATTGGCAGTTCAAACTCACCAGCTGCTCCTTGGAAACAGGGAGGCTATGAGTCGGCACTTATCAACAATTGCTATATATGGAGTTCTGATGTGGCACTGAAGGATAAGCACTGGACCACAGATCCGATTTGAAATGCAAGGTCAGCTGTTCAAACTCACCAGCCACTCCTCAGAAACCCTATACAGAGTTGCTATGAGTCAGAACCAATCTGATGGAATTAACAACAACAAATTGTTAATATTACAGACTCCATGTGTGACACTGTAGGATAAGCACTGAACTGCTAACCACAAGGTCAGTGGTTCAAATTCACCAGATGCTCCTTGGAAACCCTATACAGGGTCACTGAGTTGGAAACTACTTGATGACACTTAACAACACCGCTACTATAGTTTAATTGGTATAACCTAATATTAATGAAAACTTCTGCATAAATGTGACATATTAAACTTCTAAATTAACAAATTAGTAAAGAAAACAATTACTCATAATTTTTTTTTTTCAATTTAGAAATAAAGCCATCATGTGACAAATGACTTTAACAGTACTCTGGCACTAATTTAAAACTTCAGTTTATTTAACTGTCCTTTGTAGCACTGTAGAATCAGCACTGTACTGTGAAGCACAAGGTTGGCAGTTTAAATCCACCAGATGCTCCTTGGAAACCCTATATAAGGTCACTACAAGTCGGAACTGACTTGACAGCATGACAACTGGGGGAAAAAAAAGTCCTGGTGTGGTGGGGTAGAATAAACACTAGACTGCTAACCACAAGGTCAGCGGTTCAAACCTACTAGGTGCTCCTTGGAAACCATAAACAGGGTTGCTGTGAGTTGAAACCAACTGGATGGCACTTAATAACAACAAAAACAATTCTAAAAATAATATAAAGGATATGATCACATTTATACTGGTAAACTTAAAAAAAAAATAACATTATGATACTGACAGTATATGAAACAAGAACATTTGAAAGGTATTTTTTAAGTTTTATAAACTACTATCTTATTTTTTAAAGACAGTAAAATACAAATAAATTTCAAATCCACTTCCCCATCATACTCTAATAATCTAAAACCAAGGTTCCCAATGTTTTTCTGCTTCCATATTGTTGTCATCTCTATAAATGTGCCACTCTACTTCTTCCCAGCACTAAAAGTCATCACTTAAAATCTGATATTGACAACCTTAAAGCTTTGAAACTGAGATGAGGGAAACAGGAGATACAGATCTCTGTTCACTTGCGCTCTCTCTCTAAAAGCAAGTTGTTATGACATATAATAAAATATAATTCTAGGAAGAAAATATCCACTTCATAAAAACATACCACAATCTTTCTTTGCCCCAAATGCAAATAATCTAATTTATTACATTTATAAGATAAGACTGCAAAGTCGTTTGAACTGCAAGATTGGTGGTTTACGCTCACCAGCTACCCCTTGGAAACCCTATACAGGGTCACTATGGGTTGGACTCAACTGATGGCACTTAACAACAACACTCTGGCTCTGAAATTCTGCTTATTTATAAGTGTGCTCTCATAAATGAAAATTCCACACATATCATTTAATAATTCTAATATGAGCTATAAAATTTCCATTTTGAAAAGGCTTCAAAACGTTTGTAGAAAAATTTCATTATCTCTTATTTTAATTTTTCCATGAACTTTCTGAAGCCCTTTTATACTCTGAGTTTGTAAAAAACTGTTTAAATGTTGTTGTTAAGTGCTGTCGAGTCGGTTCTGACTCATAGAGGCCCTATATAGGGTTCCCGAGGAGCAGATGGTAGATTTGAACCACTGATCTTGTGGTTAGCAGTTCAGTGCTTACTCTACAGGGCCACACCAGGACTCCAGAAGAAAAGCTTCCAACTAGCATATCATCTTCTTGTCTCTTCTAGTATCATCTTATATACATGGATAATACTGTACTTTAAGAAGCTCTGGTAGCATAGTGGTTACGAATCGGGCTGCTAACCTCAAGGTCAGCAGTTTGAAACTACCAGCCATTCCACAGGAGAAAGATGGGGCTTTCTGTTCCCTAAAGATTTGCAGCCTCGGAAACCCTGTGCAAGGTCACTATGAGTCAGAACCAATTCCACGGTACTTAACACAACCCTACTTAAACTACATATACAGGGATATATTAAAATCAAAATTGAAAATATCAGTAACTTAGCTGGGTAAGCCTCTCCATGTACATAAAGACCTCAGCAGCTGAAGGCTAGTTACAGACAATACTAAAACTATTCATTACGCAACTTCTCTGGTTGCCAGGGGATTGGAGGACACTAAAACCACAAATGTGACCAATCACTGAACTTTTCTTTCTTCACCTATCTGTTCTGATGGTAAGGACATCTGTGGTCTTGCAGTATCGTTCCCCTACAAGTTTAATAAGTTTCTTCTGTGCGTGATCATCTAAATTCAGACTGGAAAGTTTCACCTTAAAAAGAAAAAAACAAGAAATTTGAAAACTTACTTTATATACTTTGTTTAATAAAAACTAGAGTAGCAATATTATTTTGTATTAACACAGTATCCAATAAAAGGGAACCTTTTATCAATAAAATTTAAAAACAACTTAAATTTTACCAGGAAAACTTAAGTGTTCTAGTTTTTCACATAATAAGTGCACACAAAAAAGAGGCAAAGCTAATCCTTACTGTAATTAACTGCTTTAAAATTCAGGTTCACATTTCAATGTTCAAACAAACACAATGTTTATGTCATAAACTCATAAATACTTTAGAGACAGCTATGTGGTACACTTACGCCACGTGCTAGCACTCCAAGGCATTGCAAAACTGTCGTTCACAGTCTTCTACCTGAACTAATACTCTAAAATTCGATAGAACTGAGTGTCATTCCTTTTCCAAAATTCAAAATACTGAAACTTTTACTCATGTTGCTATATTTCAAACAATCAACAATTAACATTATCCCCAAAACAAATAAAAGGAGACTGTGGTTGGGTGTGTGTCCTCAAATGCCCAGATTTCCACATGTAAAGAATCACATGAATTGAGAAATGCCCAAATAAATGAAAGATTTTCTCTATGTGCAAGTATGAGGCAGTTAAGGAACTCTAGTATTACACATAAAGATTGACTCTATTCCTAGACTGGCCACACAGAAACTATGTGATCTTACAGAAATCATTTCACCTCGTAAAACTGTTTCCTCATTTATAAAATGAAAAGGCCCATTTTACTAACAAGATTTTTGTCAGGAAAGAATGAGACTAAATAAGAAATCTCTAAAATCATGATGAATAAAACAAGGGAAGAGGACTATATGGTCTTCTCCATGTATATAAAAAGGCAACCCAAAGTCCTCTCCTAATAAAAACTCTGAGCAAAATATGTATAGAAGGGAATTTCCTCAACATAATTAAGGGCAGATATGCAAAACCAACATTATTTTCAATGGAGAAAGACAAAAAGAGACTCTTGAGAACCGAAATGAGAACAAGGATGTCCATTATCATATTTTCATTCAATACCATAATGAAAGTTCTAGCCAGAGCAATACAGCAAGAAAGGAAAATTAATCATATCCAAATGAGTAAAGAAGAAACAAAACTAGCTCTATTCTCAGATGACATAACTCTCTACACAGAAAATCCCAAAGATTCCACAAGAAAGCTACTGGATCTAAGAGAAGGCACAAGATCAATACTCAAAAATCAGTTGAACAAGCAGACCAACCTGGAGTGGCTAGAAGAACAGAAGATATTTCTTGAACGAAAGACCTACAGGAAAAATATAAAACAACATAGGCAGACTGACTGTTACTACAAGAACAAGCAACTTGCTTGCCCAGGAAACATCAAGGCAAGTGGTCGGGTCCCCACAGTGCAAACCCCCTTCCAAGATTTAAGACTCAATGGGAATACACGCTGTGATTGGTGACCACGCTCGACACGGATAAGGGAAAGTGAGGGGAAAACAGCAATGAAGTGGTGAGCTAAGCCCTACAACGATCATAGACTTCTGTGAACCCGGGTGAAGACCTGGTTGGCCAGCAGTGTGGCAAGACCTGGGGGCTCTTGGGCCCACAGTCAGTGACATAGTCACAGAGGACTAGAGTGGAGAGTGAAGTGTCCAGCTGATAAGAAGAGAGGGCATATGCATAAGAACGCCCACACTTGCAGATAATACTCACTTATCCTGGCTTCAGTGACTGGATGATCAGAGCTCAACCAAAAGTAAAAAGAATAGGGGAAAAAAAAAGCATTCTCATACAATTTGATAAACTTGACCTACACCTATGGAAGCAGTAGCTCAAAAGAGGGAACAAGTCCTTACAGCAAGAATCATTCCCACCCCCTCCAC